GAACATGTGACAACATACGTTATTATGCATCTCCATTGATTTCACCAGCTAAAGCGCCAAAGAGAAACACCATGTCCATCCCAAATCATATGGGAGGAGAGTATACAACGATCAATAAAAACTACACTAACGAGTCACATGACACCAGGGAGGGAAAATGGCTAATTGGGCCCAATTTGGACCTGGTCACTTAGGGGTGGACTCACTTTTGTTGCCAACGGTTTAGACATTAATGGCGGTGTGTTGAGTTATTTTGAGGGGGCAGCAAATTTCCATGTTATTACAAGCTGTACACTGACTACGTCACATTGTAGCAAAGTGTCATTTCTTCAGTGTTGTCACATGAAAAGATAGAATCAAATGTTTACAAAAAATGTGATGGGTGCACTCACTTCTGGGAGATAGTGTGGGTATATATATATATATATATATATATATATATATATATATATATATACATATACACACACGCACATATACATGTGATGGGTGTACTCACTTCTGGGAGATAGTGTGGGTGTATATATACACACTAATATATATATATATACATACATACATACATACATACATATATATATATACTCTATCACACACATAAATAAAAAAATCAGGGGTCTAATTATAAGTGCTTTCACCCAGGATTCCTATGGAATCTAATGTCATGTGGATCCAAACAAGACCCCCTTACGAGTGACATACAAAAAGTGTAACAGCCAATCAGATGAAAGCTTTTCGCTCCCCAGCTGTTCTTTCATGGGGCAGAGTTGAGTCTGTGTGGTCACTACCAATTTTTTGACAGCCCGCGCCCCCCCACTTCCCCAATAGTAGTATGAATAAGGTTCAAGTAATCAAAAGGTGGTGATGGCATATAGATATTATGGACACTAATTAAATAATAAATACACGCACACACTGAACCTATACATACACGGATTGCAGCGTTTCAACTCGCAAAGCTCGCACGCCAGGATATAATTACTTATTTTGAGAGCCGTGACAGTTCTTTTCAGTTGACTCCAATGAGATCTGAAAATGACAGTCACATGGCTGAAATAAAAAAAAAAGATACATCACCCTTTTGTTGAGGATTTGGGAACTGAGCCAATTCTCTACAATGTAACAAATGCTGCCAGCCCATCAATATGTATATATTTATTGTTACACAGTCACTGACCCTGGCTAGAGATCAAGAAGTCATAAATCTGACACTGTAGAATGTGATGTATCTATATTAGTTCTCTATTGATCACATGATCAACACGAGATACATACCATTTATAGGCCTGCTTTTTGTATTTTCATTATTAGTGGTAATACTATTGCTACCCCCCCGTTTAATGTTGTCATTTTATTAAAAGGTACATACTCAAATACTTACCCATATGTAGTGTAACATAAAAAAAAAAAAAAATCTATTGATCACATGATAAAGTGCACAAAATTAATATTTTTTTGTGTTTACTATGTGAATAACTAGTACAGATCCCTCTCTAGATAATCATTTAAAAATAAATGTTTTATTATATATATTACACTACATGTAGGCAATAGTATTTATGACATATTCAGAATTTTTTTTTTAAAATTGTTACAATATGTACAAATAGGTACAAGTACTAATAATGCTACCAATAATACCACCAGTACTACTACCATCACCATCAATACTACTACCACCAATAGTACTACTACCACAACTAATATCAATACCAGAGGCGCACTGACAATTCATGGGGCCCCCGGGCAAAAGGGGATCATGGGGGCCCCTGTGTCCTTGCCCAAACTCAAAAAAGCCTATCAAAAAGGTACCAGGGGAATCTCATGGGGGCCCCCTACTGACCCCGGGCAGTGCCCAAGTTTCCAAATGGTCAGTCCACCCCTGACCAATACTACTACTACCACCAATTCCACCACCAATGCCAACAAAAATACTACTAACACGACCACCAATTCTACCACTACCACCCATAATACCACTACTACTAATTCTACCAATATTATCCACAATAATGCTACTATCGAAAAAAAATACCACTACTACCAATAATAATACTAATGATAATACCGCTACCACCAATAATACTACCAAATTCCACCACTAATAATACTTCTTAATTCTAATGATAACACTACTACCAAGTCTACAAATAATAAACACTACTATTAATAATACCACCACTAATAATAAAATTACTATTATTGATAATACCACCAACCACTACTACCAATACTATCACCAGTAGTGGTACTGGTAAGAGTATTATTGGTATTCTCATTAGTAGTGGCGGTATTAGTAATATAGGTATTAGTAGTAGTACTTTTGGTGGTAGTAGTATTGGTAGTGGTAGTAGTAACACCACCAATACCTATATTACTAATGATAACACCAATACTACTACCAAGAATACTCTTACCAGTACCACTACTGGTGGTAATAGTATTGGTGTTATCATTAGTAATATAGGTATTGGTTGTAGTAGTAGTACTATTGGTGGTATTACGACTACTACCACCAATACTACTACTTTATTATTAGTAGTGGCATTGGTGATGGTAGTAGTAATACCACCAAAAGTACTACTACTAATACCTATATTACTAATACCGCCACTACTGAGAACACCAATACTACTACCAATAATACTCTTACATGTACCACTACTGGTGGTAGTAGTATTGTTATTGGTAGTAGCGGTTGTTGGTATTATCAAGAATAGTAATTTTATTATTAGTGGTGGTATTATTAATATTATTGTTATTATTGGTTGATTTGGTAGTAGTGTTATTGTTAGAATTGGTAGTAGCTGTACTATTAGTATTGTTATAGTAGTTAATAATAATAATTTTATTATTAGTGGCGGTGTTATTAATAGTAGTGTTATTATTGTTAGAATCGGTAGTAGCGGTGTTATCAGTAGTAACGTTATTGGTAGTAGTAGCAGTATTATCAGTAGTATGGTTATTGGTAGTAGTAGCAGTATTATCAGTAGTATGGTTATTGGTAGTAGTAGCAGTATTATCAGTAGTATGGTTATTGGTAGTAGTAGCAGTATTATGGTAACATTCAGAAATGACTATGTGAGGTATATATGTAATAGTATCTATAGGTAGTGTTCAGATTTTTACTAGAGATTGAATGTTTACAGACACACATTATAGAAGAAAGAATGCACACAGTATGTGATGTAGTATGTGATGTGTCTGTATATAGTATGTGATGTAGTATGTGATGCGTGTGTGTATATAGTATGTGATGCGTGTGTGTGTGTGTATATAGTATGTGATGCGTGTGTGTGTGTATATAGTATGTGATGCGTGTGTGTGTGTATATAGTATGTGATGCGTGTGTGTGTGTATATAGTATGTGATGCGTGTGTGTGTGTATATAGTATGTGATGCGTGTGTGTGTGTATATAGTATGTGATGCGTGTGTGTGTGTATATAGTATGTGATGCGTGTGTGTGTGTATATAGTATGTGATGCGTGTGTGTGTGTATATAGTATAGTGATGCGTGTGATGTGTGTGTGTGTGTATATAGTATGTGATGCGTGTGTGTGTGTATATAGTATGTGATGCGTGTGTGTGTGTGTGTATAGTATGTGATGCGTGTGTGTGTGTGTATAGTATGTGATGCGTGTGTGTGTGTGTGTATAGTACGTGATGCGTGTGTGTGTGTGTGTATAGTACGTGATGCGTGTGTGTGTGTGTATAGTACGTGATGCGTGTGTGTGTGTGTATAGTACGTGATGCGTGTGTGTGTGTATAGTACGTGATGCGTGTGTGTGTGTATAGTACGTGATGCGTGTGTGTGTATAGTACGTGATGCGTGTGTGTGTATAGTACGTGATGCGTGTGTGTGTATAGTACGTGATGCGTGTGTATATAGTACGTGATGCGTGTGTATATAGTATGTGATGCGTGTGTATATAGTATGTGATGCGTGTGTATATAATGTGTGTGAATATAGTATGTGATGTGTGTGAATATAGTATGTGATGTGTGTGTATATAGTATGTGATGTGTGTGTATATAGTATGTGATGTGTGTGTATATAGTATGTGATGTGGGTGTATATAGTATGTGATGTGGGTGTATATAGTATGTGATGTGGGTGTATATAGTATGTGATGTGGGTGTATATAGTATGTGATGTGTGTGTATATAGTATGTGATGTGTGTGTATATAGTATGTGACGTGAGGTGTGTGTATATAGTATGTGATGTGGGTGTATATAGTATGTGATGTGGGTGTATATAGTATGTGATGTGTGTGTATATAGTATGTGATGTGTGTTATATAGTATGTGATGTGTGTGTATATAGTATGTGATGTGGGTGTATATAGTATGTGATGTGGGTGTATATAGTATGTGATGTGTGTGTATATAGTATGTGATGTGTGTGTATATAGTATGTGACGTGATGTGTGTGTATATAGTATGTGATGTGGGTGTATATAGTATGTGATGTGGGTGTATATAGTATGTGATGTGGGTGTATATAGTATGTGATGTGTGTGTATATAGTATGTGATGCGTGTGTATATAGTATGTGATGCGTGTGTATATAGTATGTGATGCGTGTGAATATAGTATGTGATGTAGTATGTGATGTGGGTGTATATAGTATGTGATGTGTGTGTATATAGTATGTGATGTGGGTGTATATAGTATGTGATGTGTGTGAATATAGTATGTGATGTGTGTGTATATAGTATGTGATGTGTGTGTATATAGTATGTGACGTGAGGTGTGTGTATAGAGATACAGATATATATATATATTAGAGATTATCGGTCACATGACCTCGTCATTCCCCCTCCTCCATAGTAAATCCCAGTCCCCGATAATGATGCCGGATATATACAGATCGGACGATCGGTGTGTCATTGTCCGGCTACGTGAAGTGATGGCACGCGGTACAGACGATGATCGGCCGATCTGTCATGTCCGGCCCATGTCAGCAGTCATTCGATCGGCGGCCCCGGTTGTCTTACCTGCTCGAAGGCCCAGGTCTCGGCCACTTTTTTAGCACTGAGATCCAGCAGGGAGTCCGGTTTATAACGGGGGCTCAGGCCGGAACACCTCCTCTTAGCGGCCGGCGGCTCCATAGTCCGGAATGTGCGGGGTCCCCCCCACCCTCCCCAGCGTTCTCTATAACCTCCAACCAACGCCGCCGCTCAACCCAATGACAGTCCACTCGGGCGAGGCCTACTCCCACTGTGCGATCCCCGGCCTTTCCCACGGGGCGCGGCCGCCTCCTGCGTCCCTCCGCCCGGCCTCTCTCTCGCGACGGCCTCGCACCACGGCCCCTTTAAATCTCTTTAACAATGGGGAACGCGAGCTTTATCCCAGGAGCCGCGGACACGCCCCCGCCCGCCGGCACCCGCTCGCCTATTGGGCGACGACGGCTTGTCATTTGCATGCGCCCCGCTCCTTTCTTTGATGTTGGCGTGGAACGAGGAAGTGAGCGACCTGTCAATCAGCGGCGGACGGGCCAATGGAGTGGCGAGCTGTGGCTCTTTAACTGAGCGGATGCTCCATAGAAGGGAAGGCTGGGCGGGGCCGGCGGCTGGGAAGTCATTCATTCATGTGGTTGCCCAGAGGTCAAACTGTCACATGTGTGTGTATGTCTGCAGGGACTGGCCGACATTCCTGACCACACAGCTTCTGTATAGGCTGCTATGTCATGTCATACAGGCAGCATCCAGGAGGGTCAGATGCAGGGCGGACTGACAACTCATGGGGCCCCGGGCTATAGGGGATCATGGGGCTCCAAACCACACCCAAAAAAGCCTATGAAAGGTAGCAGGGGCATCTCATGGGGCCCCCTACTGACCCGGGCCCTTGGGCAATGCCCGAGTTCCCAAATAGTCGGCCCCTGGTCAGATGCACGCTGCTTGGCGCATGATTACACACAGACATATATGTTTTAATGCATTATGCTGCATTGATGCGCAATTTTATGTAATATATATATATACCAGCATAAATGAGTACACCCCAACAGATTTATCAGAAAACCTTCACATTCCTTTCAGAATCAACATTTTCTGTGGGACACTATTCTACAAAATCCTCCCACAAATGCGGGCCCTTGATTGCAAACAAGATTTGTTCATTTACACACGCAAAAATGTATTTTTCCTGACAAATTCATTCAAGACCATGTTGCAAAAATGAATACACCCCCAATGAAAGTCCTAATAGCAAAGGGTGATTTTAGACAACAAAATCCTAATTAACAAGAATTTTCTTACAGGTGAGTCTAGTTATTCATTAAACAGGTGCCCAGCAGACAGGTGATTACAAAAGGGCGTTACTTAACAAAGAAAACCCCTCCCAGGCTGTCAGCAATGGCACCACATGGAAGAGAAATGTCACAAGGCCTGAGAAAGAAAATACATTTCTTTACACAAGAAAGGTGAAGGCTAGAAGAAGATCAGCAAAGCTTTACTCATCAGTCAGAATAATTTAGCAAAAGTGATCCAAAAATTGACCAAAGATGGAATTGCAACCATCTTACAGAGATGTCTAGGCCGTCCACAGAAGTTAACACCTCTACAGGAGAGTCTTCTGATGAGACGGGTTGAACAAAATCACCATGCAAATTCAATGCAGTTAGCTAAAGAAGTAGAAAGCCAAACTGGGGGGATTGTTTCCCGTGACACAATATGGTGTACACTGCAGAGGAATGGCATGCATGGGTGTCATCCACAAAGGAAGCCTTTCCTGAAGCCCATGCACAAAAAAGCTCGCCTAGAATTTGCTAGGGCCCAGGCTGAAAAAGAAGACTACTGGGACTCTGTACGCTGGAGTGAAGAGACCAAGATAAATGTCATGCTGGAAAAGTACACGACGACCAGGGGCTCGACGTGATGGTAGCATCTTCTCTGTCAATATAGAGCAGTACATCTGTGAATTCATGACACCATCAATGAAATGGAACTGATGGCCTCAAAACTGAATGGTGTCGCAAAGGTGAGGAGTATAAAGAAAAATGCATGGCACCTACTGTGAAACATGGTGATGGCAATGTCCTTCTGTGGGGCTGCATGAGTGCTGCTGGTGTCAGGGAGCTGCATTTCATTGATGGTGTCATGAATTCACAGATGTACTGCTCTATATTGACAGAGAAGATGCTCCCATCACTCCGTGCCCTCGGTCATCTTGCACTTTTCCAGCAAGACAATGATCCAAAATACACATCTAAGGCCACTGCTGCATTTCTGAAGAAGAACCGGGTGAAAGTGATTCAGTGGCCAAGTATATCTCCTGATCTGAACCCAATAGAACACCTATGGGGAATTCTGAAGAGACAAGTGGAGCATCACTCTTCATCCAGCATCCAGGCTTCAAAAGAGAAAGATCGATGTTGCAAGATGTCGCCAACTTGTTCATTCCATGCCTAGAAGACTTGGTGCTGTCCTTACAAATCATGGAGGTCATACAAAATACTAGACGGAGTAGTTTTTGTTGTGGGGTGGATTCATTTTTGTATCAACTAATTTGAGTAAAACTGAAGATTTTGTAATCTACGTGATATTGTTAACCTTACATTCGTGTAATGAGCAAAACAAATGTTCTATAAAAACTCAGTTTTGTCAAAATGTAGAAAATTGTTCTCGTGTTCATTGAGATATTCATCAAAATCTTAATTTTCAAAAGGGGTGTACTTATTTAGGCTGAACACTATTGAACACTATATATATATATATATATATATATATGTGTGTGTGTGTATTATATATATATATATATATATATATATATATATATATATATATATGTATTTATATTTATTTTTAAAATACATTTTTATCATTTTTAAAATATTTTTTTCTTTATTGCAGCTCATTGCAATGCATTTAGTTGCACCATGTGCTATTTGCACTCAGCACACACCCAGGCAGTGCATTGTCCATTGGAGACAATGAAGTTTGGTTCCTTATTGCAATTGGAAATGCACCCCAATGTACATGGTGTGAATGGGCCCATCTCCTCACCCCCTCCTCGCGGTGATCACACCTTGTGGGCTATTTAAATACAATTTGACCACTTGAGCTCCAGAAAGTTTTACCCCTTTCATGACCAGGCCTTTTTTGCTATTTATCACTGCTCTACTTTAACTGGTAATTGCGTGGTCATGCAACACTGTTCCCAAATGAAATTTAAAACGTTTTATTTTCCGCACAAATGGAGCTTTGTTTTGGTGGTATTTGATCACCACTGGGTTTTTATATTTTATTACATAAATGAAAAAAAGACCAAAAAAAATATATTTTACTTTCTGCTATAAAACATATCTAATAGAAAACGCAAAAATCTAATTTCTTCATAAATTTAGGCCAAAATGTGTTCTGCTACATGTCTTTGGTATACAAAAAAATCCCAATAAGTGTATATTGTTTGGTTTGTGAGAAAGTTATAGCACCTACAAACAAAGGTATAGATACTGGAATATTTATTTATTTGTAAACTTGTAATGTCGGTGATCAGTGGTTTATAGTGGGACTGTGATGGTGCAGTGAGCAATCTGACACTAACTGATGCTGACTGGGAAGTACACTAATTGAACTGTCACTGACATCACCAGTGACACTAATACAGTGATAATACTATACACTGTCACTGTACTAATGACACTGGCTAGGAAAGCAGTTATCCTCTAGGGCCAATCAGAGGGCTAGCTGTGTGCCGAACAATGTGTAATGTGTGTAGTATGTGCTGCTTTTTATTAAATATCTGTTCCTTCTCCCTGCAAACAACCAAATCGTTTCCTCTATATAGAGTCCTGTGTTGTTTGTAAACACAGGGCTCTGGGCTGTTATTGGACACAGCCGATCATCAAGTCTCAGCTATGAATCATTGGCTGAAACCCACTGTGTCAGCCGGGGGTAGGGGGGCCCGCACGTGTGCCCTGAACCCGGAAGAAGTCATGTGACTGTGCCTGTACGAGCCAGCTGCTGGCAGTATAATGCGGGCGAGTGTTCGGCAAGTGGTCAAAGTAGTATTAAACCCCCTGTGGGGTTTTGTTTTGTGTTTTTTTGGCTTAACACATTGAGCACAATAATATAAACATTCCCCAACAAAATATTAACCGCTTCCCCGCTGCCCTATAGCAGATATACTGCTACAGGATGGCAGGGGTGCGCAAAATCACGTATGTTTATGTGATTTTGCATCTCCAAGTAGGGGGCGCCCTATCCGCTCCACCATTTGTGGTCCCGGCCAGTGATTACCGAGCATCTCCGACGGGGAGGAGGGCTGCTTTGTTTACCAACACTCCTCCTCCCTGTCAGCTCGGCCACACTGCTCTAGATGGCTGTGCACAGCACAGCCATCCAGAGCAGCATGCTTACAGTGAAGCACCAACATACCGCCCTCTAGTAAAAAAATCCCTTCACATAGTTAACTCTTTGATTGCCCCTCATGTTAACCCCTTCCTGCCCAGTGCCATTAGTACTGTGTTGGTGCTTTTTGTTAGCACTGATCACTGTATTGGTATCACTGAGGATGTCAGTGACAGCAAGTCAGTTCCCCCCCACAGTGTCAAAATGCCAGCTGCAGTCGCTGATCGACGCCATTGTTGGTAAAAAAAAATAAAAAATTCCAGTATCTATACCGCCATTTGTAAATGCTAAAAAGTTCACGTAAACCAATTAATTTACACGTAATGGGATTTTTTTTAGCAAAGACATGGAGCAGAATACAGTTTGGCCTAAATTTATGGCAAAATTAGAGCCAGGTGGAGGGGAGGATGGAGCTATGTGAACAGAAGAGGAGGGGTACAGAGCCAGGTGGAGGGGAGGACGGAGCTATGTGAACAGAAGAGGAGGAGTACAGAGCCAGGTGGAGGGGAGGACGGAGCTATGTGAACAGAAGAGGAGGGGTACAGAGTCAGGTGAACAGAAGAGGAGGGGTACAAAGCCAGGTGGAGGGGAGGACGGAGCTATGTGAACAGAAGAGGAGGGGTACAGAGCCAGGTGGAGGGGAGGATGAAGTCAGATGTACAGGAGAGGGGGGGTACAGAGCCAGGTGGAGGGGAGGACGGAGCTATGTGAACAGAAGAGGAGGGGTACAGAGCCAGGTGGAGGGGAGGATGAAGTCA